GTCGCCATTTATCACATCCGTATCATTCTGTTTGATCGTATTATTTCAACACTTTGTGCCGTCGGGCTATTTTTCGCGCGTCTGCGCGAAGCAAATTCATCTTTGGGCTTGGATAAATTTTACGAGAGAAGGCGAGAAATTGATCAAAACTCCGTCTTTCTATGTCGTTCAACAGTAAGCTAATTGCGCCTTCTTCTTCTTTTCCCCTTCTGTTTGAACTTGATCTCGAAAACGAAAACACGTTGTTTCGTCTCTACGCGGTAAAAAATTACCAAAAAAAGAAAAAAAGGAAAAATTAAATTTATTTGTTATTGCGAGAAAGTGACACGAGACCTGTTTCATCCAGTGAAACTGAGATTTTACATTTTACTGAGTCCTGTCAAGTTTTCCGCTGTCGAACGATCGAACCTCTCGATACGACGCGTTTCAGACTTTCGACATTTACAACTGCTTGGATTACACATTTTGTCTACGGGACGAAATACCTGAAAGCTTCGTGAGATATATCACGTTACAACAAAGTTACAACGAAAGCCTTTTCTTTCTGTTTGTTCCACAATATCATCTGATTACTCGTGTTCGTTATCACGTATTGAAATATTTATAGGAACAGAATTAGAAACCGATACGAATCTCCGTGGAGAAACGCAATCTCGTTAATAACGAGCCTGTTTTATTTTAATCATTGTTTAAATTACGATGATTCATCGCGCGAGACATTCAGACACATTTGTTCTAGCGTTAAGTACAGACACACGTTCGTTTATTTATTTATACTCAATGGCAGCGATACCCGCCGTGAAAGCGTTAACATCGGTACGACGACCACGACGACGACGACGACGACGACGACCACCAAGGCAATAAACGAGTTAACCGAGATAGATAACGACGTCGAGAACCGTGTAAATATAGATGAACGTCGAATCGCGTTGTCATCAATCGTCGCCGGTGGATATTCCCTGAAAATTTGCAAAAATTGCGCAGTCGCGAGTGAAAAATGACGAATAATGTCGTTTGTCGTTTTGTCGAGTAAATGAGAAGAAGAAGGAAAGAGGAAGGAAGGAAGGAAGGAAGGAAGAAAAGAGGACGAAAGCAAAGAGCAGAAGCACAGAGGCGCGCCAAGGACGCGGCAATCTCGAGCACGTGAGGGGGCAAGGTCGAGGGGAGAGCGAGAGAGAGAGAGAGAGAGAGAGAG